ATGTCCCCAGGCTCCCCTGGGATGTGAGAGAAATTTTTCTGAAGGTGTGTGACTTGAAGATATCATGGACATGCTCCCCTCCCAGGTTTGGCTCTAGCAGGGTGCCCCAGTTTTCCCTAATCCAGGCAAAGTAGCACAACTCAAAGTGACCATTTTCATCAGGGTTTTGAATCACTCTCAGTCTGGTCCTTCCCCTGGGCCCAATTTGCCTTGGGAGACACTACCTGGGGCTAATACCCCAGATAACACAGCTCCAAGGATGACTGGGACACACAGACCTCTCCACTACATTAAGGTGGTGATTCCAGAAGAGGCAATAAAATTAATTTTGAAATTTAAATTTACTTTTGTCTTTTGCACCTCCTAGTGTTTCCTACTGAACGCTGCCTCCAAATTCAGTTCAATTAGTTTTATTTGTATAGTGCCAAATCACAACAAAAGTAATCTCAGGACATTTTAAAAAGTAAGGTCTAGACTTTACTATTATTAATATTATAGAGGAAAAACCCTACAATTCCCCCTTGAGCAAGCACTTGGCGACAGTGGAGAGAAACTACATCCCTAAGCCCCATTTTAGGCATTTCTGCCTTCACTGGTTCTAACAGCTAATTATTAGGAGAAATATCTCCACACTTTCAAATGACCATGACATGTACACTTGGAGAGTACCCATACAGAGGGTGATTATAGTGATTATAGCTGACCCCTGTTGACTGGATTCATACTTAGCTAATGTAGTTTTTATGCCCTGATAAGGGCAAGTACTTCTTGCAAGATTGGAGCAGAGAAAGTGTCAGCAGCTGGACTGACCCAGCAGAGGATTATCATAACAGAAAGAATCCTGACAATGTTGAGGCTATTAACATAATGCAAACAATCCCAGTCCTGTGATGTCCACAGTGTGGATAGTCCTTTAATAGTGGACAGTGTCTCATCACCCCAGTATGCCATGTGCTGTTTTACTCCACTGAAACTAGGATAGCTGTAATGAAAATTTATTAAAACACGTGGAAGATTTACCAAATATTCAGGAAGCCTGAACCACAGCGATGTCTGTATGCATCAAATAAATTATTCTTGCAAATTTTATCCACCACTACAAAAATCCATACGTTTCACAGGCTTTATGAAATTGCCTCAGGAGCACAGAACTCCCAAGGTAATTGTACACATCTGTTTATTTTGATGTAAATGGGATTACAGCATGCTTTTCAGTTAATTATCCAAGGTATGTCATTTACTTTGAAATAGGGTTTTGATCAGTGCTTTTATTTATACTGACAACAGTTTCCAGTCATATTTCTGCTACATGTTGCACATGTTGATCTGACCAGATTTTGAATATTCAAAGCTCAAGTCATGAAAGATTACAGCCTACCCGCTGAGGTGGGAGGTAAAGCAATTGTTCCAGAGCAATTACTTCTTTGCTGCATTTTCTTTTCCTTGACTATCACTCAAGTGCCACCGTTAACTGCATGATAAATAGACCTTTTTGGTTTAAATCACAACTGCAGGTGCAAATTGAGCACTTCAGCAGAGAGCAAGAACTTAGCTTTTGTTTATTTCGCAGTCAAAGTGCTCCACTTGGGATATTGTATTCATCAGCGGAGGAACATGCATTCATGAAATTGATGAGTTTGCCTGTGGTTGTTGCCTGCTGAAATTACACCAGCATTCTTTTAAGAATGAGCTTATTCCACTTCGATGTGTGTATTTCATTTAGAGTATTTTATTTAGTATTTTTAATTTTGAGTGAGATAATATACTGCATCTGATATTTTATGGCAACATTACATGTTAACTTTTGCAGCAGATAGAAACAAAGCCATCTGTTCTTTAACCGCTGAAGGCTTAATCAGTCTCAAATTGCATCACACATGAAGTAAATAAAATCGTTGCAAACACAAAACATGAAATTCACATTGTATGACTGACTAAAAGCCCAGTTTATTTGGAGTAATGACTTAATGTTCTGTATTTGGTTAGTGATTAGTACCTGTAACACAGGAGGAACTGTCACATTGTCATGAATAATGCAGACAACTCATTATCCAAAGCATTTTTGTCGAACAGAGTCCCGTGGGACTCATGGAGTTTCTGACTGATGCACTTTCCCTAAAAGTTTATACAGGCATTGATGTAGTCACTCAGTCATGATAGACAGGTTGATGTGGGAAGCGGTGAAATGCACTATAGCCATAACTTTTCAAAGAATGTACACCGTGGTTTCACTTCTGCCTTTCAGCTAACTGACAGCACCTGATGAAATTTTGTTCTATATGAAAAAGATAAATGAGTGTGAAGGTAACTGTCAACTTAACCAACCACAGTGTTTAGCTGAAGATATTTAGTCGCTCCCAACCTCACACTGACTGGGCTTTTTTTTAAATAATTATTTTAAATAAGTTTTATACACTTAATGGAAAAAAATCTAAATGTATTATCAGGCACTGGGTATTTAGTAAAAGAAAACAAGTTATCTCTGTTTTAACCAGACAAAATGCACATTTGCCAGTTTGCTGTAGTTGTGTTAGGCCATGCCTGATACAGCTTTAGTTTTATTTCTCCAGCTGAGTCTGTGAATTGAACTGCATCCATTTTTAGTGTTCAAAGCATTATAATGTACATTTTGCTAGTGAGATAGATCCACTTTTTTCTTTCAGGTGCTTTCAGCAAGAAATATTTTCTACTCCTCTTTATGTTTTCTTGCATCTACTGAATCAAAACACCCATATTAAGAATATATTTGTTTAGGCCAAGAGTGGCAGTAGTGCCCCAGATGGGTAGAGGCGAGGCCACCCTTGACTACCACTCTTTTGGTTACTTTTTTTGTTCCCAGAATAATAATAAAGAATCCTTGATTTAACTCTGACCTTGGTGGGATTGTCATCTTGACAACCAGCCTGCTTGACTAAACTAGGTTACCAATGGCTATTTATTCACTCATTCAT